AAAAGAGCCATTCTTCCTGAGAATGATGCTAATGGCCTGCCTCACAAAGGGGAGCAGAAGTCCAGAAAAACATGTTAGACAAAACCAGGCAGATGAACTGAAGGGTGAATCTTTTTTTAAAAAGTGAAGAATTCCACATGCTATTTCTGTGAAATTGTAATGTGGAAATACTGTTTTGAATAGAAGATCCTTTTTTCCCTTTTGCCATTCTTCCTGTTCTGCTGTAGTAATCAGGAGCCAGTCATAACTCTGAGTTCACAGAGTATTTTGGATGTTAATTTTCTTCTGCTTGTTTATAACTGTCAGGTAATTATCCTGGTTTTATCTTAAAGTACCATATAAATAGAAGTACTACATAAGTATCAATAAAATTTTTTTTTTTTCTGGCTAAATCATTGCTGTCCTGAAAACAGTGAATGAGTCAATAAGGAAATGAAAGAAGGAAGAAAAGAGGTATAAAGAGTTAGTTTTTCCTAATTTTCAAAGATAGTTTCACAGTTGTGCTAGGTGGTGATTCTGAGGTAGACCATGTTTGGAGACATGGGGTAGCTTCAGCTCCCATGGCATTCAACATGTTGGTCTTTTGAAATTAATTTGCACTACTTCAGCAGTTGTATCACCTGAGCATTGTACCTGATTTACATTCTTTCTGGATTGACATAGAGATGTCCTGGCAAACACACTGACTAGATAGTTATGTTTGTCACTAGAAATCAGATTACTGTTTCATGGTGCAGAATAGATCCCTAGATTTTAGCAGAAAGACCAGTTTCCAAGCCTGAAAGAATATACTAAAGGGAACATGTCCAGCTTTTTTCATTCTTTCTATAAGCATCTGCTACTGAAGTCTACTGGAAGAAGAATATTCACGTAGATGGATATTTGGTCTGACCAGAATAGAGTTGTGAGATGTCAAATGCTGGCTTTACTTTTCAGCCTCTTTTGTTAATGCCTTCTTGTGTCATCTGCTTCAAACTGTAGTACAGTTTTGGGGATTGGTTTGGTTTCTATTATACTCTTGTGATCGATCCTCCTTGATCTCAAAGAGATGAAAGGGAATATGTGATGGCATTATTCACATTTTGGACAGTTACTTGTAGAAGCACTTCAAAGCTGAGTGTAGGTTTGACACTTTGTCCTATGAACTGTTTTTTGTTCATGGTTTAAATATGACTCAGAATAGCCCCAATTACATGTATAGTCATTATAAAAGATTCTTTAGCTCCAGAATGTAATCCAGAGCATAGAAAAGATGCCTAGGACTAGATTGTGTAAATAACATTGGCACTAAAACTTCTTTTCAGCATTAAGGCCCAATTAAAGTCAGAAGAACCTTTCTCACTGACTTTGGTGGTTGCAGGATTGAATTCTGCTTCTGAGAGCACAGAAGTTTAATATTTGATGTAAATAGTCATAATATTTTGCAAAGGAAGCAATAGAGCAAATATTTGAAAAATGAAGGAATAACAATATGAAAAAGGCTATTTGCCATGAAAAAAAAATCCTTAAGTCTCCAGAGTTTATTAATGAGCTGCAAAATCAAAGTGGGGAAAAAACGCCTGTAAGAGTAATTTCTCAAAGAATAAAAAATGCATTGTGAATCAGAATAAAAAGATCCTAATGGATAAATGGAAATAGCTAATAATATGAAGGTTTTATTACTTAAAATGAGAAGGAAACGCCCAAACCTGAATTCACACCTCCTTCTTGTTGAAGAACAGTATCAGGGATAATTGTGTAAATTAGTTTCAAACCAGAGGTTAAAATGAATTTATTTCCGTGAGGTGTAGCAAAAAATAAAAAGGTCTATGTATGTTTTACTTGGTTGTTAAACTTGAAACTTGAAGTAATATAGACTTTTGAAGCAAACACTGGAAATAATGTATGGAGGATATAGAAGTATAAAAGATATCTTCAGATAAACTTAAGTGTTTTAAATAAACTATATATGTGATTTAAACATATGTGTAAAGTTACATTTTAGTCTTCAGTATTTATGAAATCAACTCTTTCATTTGGCTTTAGAAAGAAATATAAATATAGTATGTCTGTTGCTGTTTATGTAGACCATACAGTCAAATACTATGATTTTATTTACTTTGTAATTCCTCTCAGAATGTTGTCTTTTTCTCTTAGTGGAAAATATCTGTAGAAACCGATCTTGTTTTTAGCCTTAGGTTTTGGTAAATCTGTCATAAACTTTTAATTAGTTATAATTTATGACTGTTTATGGGAAAGATATGGATAGAAGTTTCATGAGCTTAGTGCTGTGAAAATCTGTGGGGTAAACATAGTGGAAGAGCACATATTTGAAAATCAATTATGTCTTTATTTTTGTTGGACAAAGCAAACATCAGTGTGGTATATTTTTGTAATATGCTACACAGTCATAGGAGATGTGCTTAGTGATATCTTTTTTTTGTCTTGCGTATTTATACCTTTGAATCATGCTTTTATATTTTCATTGATATTGCTTTTCACTTAGAACACTGACATACACTAATAAATTAATAAATGGCAAGGGCTGGGCTAGGAAAATACTTGTGAGAAAAGTTTCAACATCAATATTAAAAGTAAAGAACTTTAATTTGGCTATAGTATAACTATAAAGCAAAATGATTCAATCAGTATACTGTTAAGGGATTCTTGTACCAAAAATTGGCTACATCCTTGAGTGTTATCTCTCATGTTTCTTTTTTTTTTATTTTCATTTCTGTCACAAACTATTTCATGAGAGAGATAAAAATTCAAATAGCTAGGATGCAGGCTTCGCCTGAAATCTGACACTAGAGCTCGGATCATATTCACTGCTAATGTAAGACATTTAGGTACTCAGGGAATTAATGGACACATTATTGTACACACCAATGAAGTTGATTGACATTTAAATTGTACAAGAAGTGGAAATCTACATATCTTTCAGCTATATTGATTCTTTTGGAAATAGAGGAGGAAAACAATTCTTCTGAAATTTACTTTTTATATATCTTTGTATACCAGCAAGGGTGAAGACATGTCTTTTGCAAATACAGAGTTCACCTCTGGCCAGATTGTACACCTAGACATGGAAAATATGGGAAAAACTCCCATCTGAAAAACTAAAAATATAATTTGCATAGTGCAATTGAAAAGTAAATTTTAAGAGGACAGGGAAGAATAATATCTATCTTCACTGAAAGTTTTTGGTCAGATTTTCTCCCTTTTTCGTAACTATTCATTTTGATCATTCTGCCCATAGACCCTGGGCAGTTGTAAATTTGAATATGTTGTAGCTTTGTCTCTGCTGAAGTATGAACTTGTCAGTCTTCTGTGTCCTAACTGTACCAATTTCACATATTTAAATGGTTATCTTTGAGATTTGATTTGCCACAGTCTGCTTCTGGAATATATTTTTTTTTAATGAAAATTGTTTGAATCAACCATTCAGTGGTTATCAGCATAGGAGTAATCACTGGGAAGAGATGAGTTAGTGGGTTGTAGGTAATTGTTAAAGAATGTGATGCATTTTATTTGTTGCATGCCTCTACAATTTATTTATATAGATTTCTTAAAATACACAACCACTCAAGAGAGGATGTATAATAAAAAGGATAATTTTGTATATTTATCATTAATTGAAATGGTAAGGAGGGGAAAAATGGTAAAGAGACATTATCTTTTAATAATGAGCGTATAGAATTTATCCAGATTTAATAAATCAAGATATTAAACCCAAAATATACTGTAGCCAAATAATAGGGAGCTACTGAATCAGGGAATCAAGGATCACTTTTAAGACATGAAAATAAAATAAAAATTTGTTATTTTTAAAAGCTTGGTCAGAATGGAAGTAGAAAGAGTGATCTTCAAGCCACCAAATTAAATGACAAGTACCTGAAGTCAAAAAAATAGCTGGAATATGATCCTTTTGTCTCTCAGAAGTTGAAAGGGCTTGAAAGAGCTTCTTGTTCACTAGGCTAAGGTTGTACAAAGTCCTGTTTACACAAACTACACTGTAAGGTATCCAAAGTTATTTCTCAGGGTCAGAAATCAGTACAATTTGAAATATTTTATGAATGGGAGAAAGGTAGTCCAGTTTTATAAATTAGAAATTTTCTAAAGAATGAACCCCAGGCTCTTTGCTGATGAAATAAGAACCTGAATGACTGAACCGTGTAAGTCAAGCCAAATTCTTCAGCGGTATTTACTTATTGTGTGGGAGTGATTTACTTCTCTCACTTATCAGAATATATTGAAAGAACATGTGGTAAAAAAACTCAAGGATTTATAAGAAAAATAAGTCATATACAGGTTGAGTTTGAACCAAAGTCTGAATTTTGTTTTAATGAAAGAAAACTGAATTCTGCCTTAGGTGCTAGAGACACCAGTTAGCAACTAGTTCTGTCACCCCTCTTCATTCCAACCATTACTTTAGTTTTCAAGTTATTCCATTACATCAAAAATAAAACTGCTTAATTGAAGGAATAAGTTCATACAGGATTCGCTTTTTTAACTCCAAATTTCAGTGAAAACTTCCCTAATTCAGTTCAACTCAGTGAAAGCAAGTTTGACAGAATCAGGCATTTACATCTGGACATAGAATACTCAATTAGGCAAAAACAGCACACAAAGCTGTTCATGTTCTTTATGCCTTTCAGTACGTTAGGCCTGTATCTTTTCAAAGTTTGGCAGTCTTTTGTGATAGCTTGGGTCTATTAACAATGTTGGAATAAAATTACAGGAATTTGAGAAGTAGGGGATGCATCTTATTTACAAAACAAAATCAAACCCACAAAAAACCTACCAGAACCCACAAATACTGTTGATCTGATTTGTTTAAAATAAAACAGTACAACACAGCATCTCCAAAGGTGTTTTGAGTATGATTGCTCTGCAGGTGGCAGTTCTGATATACAACTTGAAAACACAGTCTGTAGGACAGTTTAAAAGAGACTTTGCAAAAGTTATCAAAAATAAACTGATTTTATCAGTGCACTATATGACTTTGCTCATTCATGCAGGCTGCATTAGAGAAGGAATGGCTAACTCTAGATTCCACCCGTTTCCCTTCAAAAACACTCCTGCTCTCAAACCAGCTGCACTGGCCAAAGGTAACATGTCACAGAAACATCTTAGTCTTCAGTCTTTATTCATTCCTTAAGGATATGCTATTCTGGGGTGATTAATACGACAATCTAGTGACTTGAAAAACACAATTACTTTTAGAAGTCTCAGACTTCCTCCTCATCTCCAGATGCAATTTTTCTTTTAGATTTTCTTTCATTTGCCTAGTTTTTCTTTATTTTGGATTTATTTCAACACTCTACTTCACAGTAGCAGAAAAAAAGATGATGTGCTTCATCTGCACATTTGGCAATGGATTAAAAATTGCTAGTTGACAAACTACTCTAAAAATACTAAGATCTGCATTATGTGACAGCAGCTGAATGTTTTCAGAACAGCTACAGGTCATCGAACTGTAATGTCTGCTAGTTATTTGATAAACTTTGAAGTTTTAGCTTTTGTTTTGGTAGGATTTTCTATTCTTCTTACAAGCACAGTATTACTAATGTTTTATTTTCTACAGTTAAGACAAAGGGGTCTTATAAATGTATAATTCATTATATTTGGGGATGTTTTGTATTTGGGGACATTAAGTGTAACTAAAGTCACCTTTTTGTCCTAGTTAGATGAAGGTAAGGTCTGTAATGGACATATCACCGTTAAGAATCATTTCAGTTATAGTAATATCCTCTGCAAACCCCAGTGCAGGTTTTCCTGCGCATTTTAAACTCTAGCTTACAGAGACGGTCAGCTGCACCCTTTTCTTTGTCTTACTTAAAAGTTTTCTAGGCCTTCAGATTCCAGTGAACAATCAACTAGTTTGCCACTGTCACCCCAAGAAGTTTGGCAGCGTTCTAACAGACCACATTCATACTCTGCAGAAAATATCAATTTTCATAGCAGGTAAGTTACATAATTTATTTTTTTAATTATATTTCGTTCATTTGGATTTGACAAAAGTTAAAAGGAGAAGAAGAGGCTATTTTCTGATACTTTTGCTACTTTTGGCTAATGTGATATTACTGGTTTTGAAATGTATTTACTTGCTAAAACCAAATATATTAAATTCAGTTATTATTTTTCATTGACTAAGGATTAAGAATATAAGAATATATGTGTTTAGTTTTATTTATCAAGGTTTGACTAGAGATCATAAAACTTCAATTTTTTCACATATATGGCAAGATAGATTGTGAAATAGAGATTTTGAAGACTAGATAAAGATTAAAAGAGATTTCTTTTACAGCTGCATTCTGTGAAAGGACTGAAATATGCTTCAAGTAATTGAAATATAAACATTTCAAATTGATGGCAGACTTTTATTACTCCCCAAGATAAAACCTTCACAGAATATTAAAAGAGATTTTTTTTTTATCATTTCCAAGCTTCAAAAGTGCCTTTAAAAGGCACAAACCAGTTGCAGAATAACAAAGACTGCAAAATAGTCACCCAAGTCTCTTCCTTATTTGCCTACTTCTTGGTACTGCTCTTATACTTTGTTTCCAGGTCAGGGAAGGGAATAATGTCACAGCTTTCTGACTGGAAGGACAAAAAGAAATTTTTATTTATGTCTGAAAAAGAAGAGAAAATTTCAGAAGAATGGTATGTTAAACTATTTTGCTTACCTAGTTATTTCCAGAATAGATGTGGTATACTTGGCTGCTGGTGCTTGCTTTTTCTAAGTTCCTCCTTTCAAGAATGTCTGTTTTCTACCAAAGTAAAAATTATTGCAATTACTCTTACAAGTGCCTGGGAAACCATCTTAATAAGTTGCAATAATGTAATGGTAAGATAATAATTGCAGCTATCTCTATAGTTCAGAAAGTTTCATACCATGCTTAAGTACCATATACTGGTACTCTGTTTGAAAAGTGTTTTATACAATAATATACAACTGGTGTAACATAATACATATGAAATATTTAGTAAGTTTTTTCTTTCCCTAGGGGTTTCAAAGATATTTCTACTGCACAGCTAATGATGAAGAGGGCCCATAAAATGAAGCCTAAAAAATATAGTAATAAAAGTTTAGGTAAGTCAAGAGTTAAAATAATGGTTATATTGATGTAATTTTTCCATTCTTAAATCTCAAAGTAGTGTCTCTATTTTAAAAATTTGCTTGTACAACATTAAACATTAATTTGAAAGAAGCTGGAGTGTCATTCACTAAAAACAATTTCAATCAATTTTTTCCAATGATAAAATACTCAGATTTTAAAAGACGTTCAACTGAATTTTGAAGTTGAATATTTGACAGCTATGAGCAACAGAAATTTTGTTTCTTCCTGTTCATGTATCTCTTTTTCTAGCTGTGAAATTTATATTTCTGCATTTTATGCTTTTTGTATTTTCCTCTTGGCAAAATCTTAGCTTAAAATTATTGACTTATGCAAGAACTATTTATGGAAATGACAGTTTGACACATATGAAAAAAAATCATATTTCTTTAATTAAATATTCAATGTGGAAATAGATAAAGCTTATCTAGCTTCTCTTTAAGTGTCTTCTGGTTCTTCTCTGATACTTCTTATGTCAATGAACCTTTCTTGGAATCGTTAATTGTTAGTATGATATGCTAATGTAAATGTTACTGGAATATATTAATACAAATATTAATACAAATACTGTTAGTATAAGAAACATTTAAATATGTAAGAGCCTGGTTGACAATAGAACCTAATATTAAATGGTCTTTGGAAAATGTACCCTTCTTTACATATATTTTCTATCACAAGCTACAGTTAATTTTCCTCTTTTGCATAACTTTGCAAAACTCTTCTGTATTAAGTTTTGAAATTACTGAAAGACATTTTGCTTTTGGAAGGAAAAAAAAAACAGCTACAGATATAGTTAAGCAAAGTGTTTCTCTGCATGATTTTTTCAACCTAAGACTAAGACTAAATATGACAAAATGATCTGTAATTAAAAAAAAAAAAGGAGAAGAGAAAAAAACACATAATCAGCATATGCTTTGTGGAAAAGAGAATATATGGATAAGAGGTTAAAGTTATTATATTTAAATCTTGATAGCTTTCCTATCATGTTACCTTATTTTTTAAAAAAAAGTAATAAGTATCTTATGTGCAGCTGAAGTTTTTTTAACATATATTCCATTTTGTGACCTCTGTATGATTTTTCAATGAATAGAGCTAATTAGGTTATATCGTCTTTTCTCCATATGCTATCTGTTTTATTTTAGTAGGAATTAATCCAGTCATAAATGCTTGATTGAGCGTATCAAATTTGCCATCCTATTTTTGTTGTAGTTCTAATGGATTTTTGGGATACATTTATATTCACTTTGTTCAGATTATTCAATATGATGTTTGGTTGAGCTTTTTAGTGTGTCACTTGGAATATTCTCAAGGTGTATCACTAGTTTAAAAAAAAATAAAATAACTTTTGCCCAATGTTTTTATAGTTTCAAATTTTCTCTTCTTGAATCTACCTCATATAGAATGTTTTTGTCTTTTTGAGTATTATGTCAAATACAAAAATAACCTGTATATATAATTTGCCTATATGGAGTTCTCTGTCAGTCATTGAAATCACAGGGTTTTTTTCAGATGAGCAGGAAGCATAGTTTTTAGAGCTAAAAAACATAACTGAAAATATTCCAATCCATCCCAAAGATTATCAAACCACCTATTCACCTATTCTTTCTCATACAGCACACTGACAAAGTCAGTCCTTCCTTGGTCAGTAAGGACCAAATGGATATTATCAATTAAAACAAGGATTTTTATATTAAACTGATCTTAAAACTCAGATGTTGAACTAAAACAATGATCCCAATGAAATATTCCCTATGTGAAAAGAATCTCCCCAAACATAATTACGTTTTACATCAGCTACAACCTCTGAAGTGGTGACAGTAATTCAGGGTCTTTTTGAGGTTCTGGTTGAACAGAGGGGCTTTACAGCATTTAAATTAGAATAGATATAGCTTATCCTGAGACTAGCCAGCTTCAGATCAGGAAACTTTAGCCAGACCAGTTAGGCTGCCAGTACGTTTCTTGGATCTCTGTGTGGTACAGCTCGTGCTAGATTACTTGTAGCAAGTCCAGTATAAATAGGGAGAGAGTTCACAAATCCTAGGCAATTGATGTGAGTTTAACCATACCAAAGCAGGAATTCCGTAGGAGACTTTGTTCCTTCTAGTATTTAAAAGCAGATTGAAATTGATCTGAATAAGTAGATGTAACATTGTCTTTTAATGTTTCCATAGAAATTACTATCCTATTGCCTTCATCTCCACTAAAATGAGGTTCATTTGTCTTGACTGAAGCTGTATATGAAATGTTGTAGTTTAGAATTATTATTTCTGTTCTGTCTTTTGAATTTCCAGGTCTTCAGTGTTATAATTGCAACTGTTTCCTTTTTAGCTTTCTGATTTATAATAGTTGAAGGTATGCTAACAATTTTGTTAGTGATAAAGTTTCTTACTCACTAGAAAGTAACTAACCAGCATCCACTTAAAAGTGGAAATTATAAGGTAAAAAGGAGCAATTTTTTATTTTATATCCTTTTACAACTACACATCTGACATCTAGAGCAAAACTTTAAGTTCTGAGAAAAAACAAAGCAACAGCAACTGTAAATATTCTAGATATAAATAAATTATAAACTATTAACAAATAAACTGATATCTTTAATGATGAGATTTCACCATAATCCCAAACATCTTTTATGTGCTATCGATCACTCTGTGGTAAGGATCTGATTACTTTTGGGGAATGATAAGATATTGATGGATTTTCTAGGAACAAGTTAGCTGTCAGAGCAAGTTGTCTGCTTCCACTTGCTATCAAACCCCTTTGCCTTAGACCTGAGATTCACAAGTGCAAAGTGTTAAATCAGCTGGCATTCAGAGAGTTTTACAGTTGCTCTTTAATATTGTCAAGATGCCTGCTGGATTGGAACTTCAACTGAACAGCCATGAACAGCTTTGATTCTTAACACTCTCAGGTGTGGGAATTTATTCCTTTTCATTTTCCATCTAAAACATTTGTCTTCTCCTAGTGCAAGGGTGATGGGATTAATTTGATAATTATAGAAATCCACATCTGAGCTAGTCATCTGCATTTGTTTTATGGAAAGAAGTTTCCTCTTAAAACATAATTAAAAACCAGGCTACTCACTGTTAAAGCACTTAATAGTTCTCCATTGCCTAGACACAAAAACTAGAGTGACTTGCTGAAGGACAGAGTTAAAATGTAGATGTGTAAAAGTAACTGAGAAGCATCTTGCCTCATATGTCTGGCCACATACTTACTCAGTAGCAAAAAAAAAAAAGGAAAATACTAGCAAGTGCACTGAATCCTGTGGTTTGTATTACAAGGAAGAGCTTAAAGTAGCATGACCTTATAATAGGAAGTGATTCAGGCAAGGCTTATATTGCAGCAGACCAGTCCCACCAACTAATGGCCTTAAGGTCTGTTATGCCCTAATCCGCTACTGTTAGGTATGCTTGTTTATGTAGGTAAATAAAGTCGGGGCCTATATTTTAATAATACCAAATGTATGCTGTGCCTGCTTCAACTATTTTTTAAGATTAAGATAATACAAAAAATGGGGGCAACAAATCAGAAAATTTTCAGCCAAGTAAAACTGTCATTACGTCAGAAATATTTCTGTTTATCATGGATTCATAAAATTCTATACAAATTCTAATTCAAAATCTAAATAAAGCAGACATTAATGCACCTCACTGTGTTTTAACATTAAGTGTCTGTGACTCATAACAATCCTAGCTTCCTAAAGATGTCTTGGCACAGCAGCACAGAATTTCTTGCTTAACTTGGAATTTCCTTGTTTCTGTGAATTTTATACTAGCCTCTGAAAGTTAACTTCTTTTCCTTTTCAGATGGCTGAAAGCCATGGCTTACTTTCAGCTTGTCTCACACTGCTGTAGTATTTCTTGTTTAACCCTTTCCTCTCCAAAAAGATAGTCTCTTGTCAGTGCATCAGGCCCACCCAGCACAGGTTTAGAAAAGGCAGGTCCTGCTCCTTCTATGACCTGGTAACCTGCCTAGTGGATGACGGAAAGGCTGTGGTTGTTGTCTACCTGGAGTTCAGTAATGTCTTTGATACTTTCTCCCACAGCATTCTCCTATAGAAGCTGGTGGCCCATGGCTTGGACAGCTGAATCCTTTGCTGGATTAAGTGTGCTGCATCCAGTTGGCTGGATGGTCACCCCTGGTATCCCCCAGGGATCAGCACTGGGCCCAGTCATGTTTAATATCTTTATTAATCATCTGGACGAGGGGATCACAGGCACCCTCAGTAAGTTCATAGGCAACACTAAGTTGGGTTACAGTGTTGATCTCCTGGAGGGTAGGAAGACTCTGCAGAGGGCTCTGGACAGGCTAGATCAGTGGGCTGAGGCCAGTGGTAGGGGGTTCAAGAATTCCAAGTACCAGGTTCTGCACTTGGGTCACAACAACCCATGCAGAGCTACAGGCTTGATGAAGAGTGGCTGGAAAACTGCCCAACAGAAAAGGCTCTGTGGGTGCTTGTCGACAGCTGGCTGAACACGAGCCAGCAGTGTGCCAAGGGGGCCAAGGCCAGTGGCATCCTGGCCTGTATCAAGAATAGTGTGGCCAGCAGGACCAGGGAAGTGATGGTCTCTCACTACAGGAAAGAGAGCAAGGTGCTGGAGTGTGTCCAGAAAAGGGCAACGAAACTGGTGAAGAATTAGAGAGTAAGTCCTATGAGGAGTGGCTGAGGGAGCTGGGGTTGTTTAGCCTGGAGAAAAGAACTCTCAGGAGAGACCTTAGTATTCTCTACAACAACCTGAGGAGGTTGTAGCCAGGTGAGGGTCTGCCTCTTCTCCCAGGCAACAAGTGACAGGTGAGAGGAAATGGCCTGAAGTATTGTTAGGGGAGGTTCAGGCTGGACATCAGGAAAAATTTTTTCACTGAAAGGCTATTTAAGCATTGGAGCGGGCTGCACAGGGATATGGTGGAGTCACCATCCTTTGAAATATTCAAGAAATGACTGGATGTGGCACTTAATGCTATGCTTTAGTTGGCATGTTGGTGTTCAGTCAAAGGTTGCGCTTGATGATTTTGAATGTCTTTTCCAACCTTAATGATTCTATGGTAATTCTTGATGCCACATAGGTAGGAAGGAAAAAAAAAGAAAGGTGAAAAGCAGCTGAAGTGGGCCTTGTTCACTAGAACCAGGGCACAATAAAAAAGGTATGTCATAGAGGTCAGCAGATATTTTTTAGTTTGTGTTTAGAATTTCACACAGCAATGCAATGCTAATTAAAAAATGAAATAAAGAAAAAGCAACAAAAAACTTAATCCACCTCCCTCAAAACCTGCAAGCCCAAAACAGATGATCTGACTTAACAGCAGTCAGGATAAAAATTTGGGGTATATAATTAATCAATCCTTGTTACACATTACATAAATGACCATCGTTGTATATTTTCTTAGTAGCAGAAAGAGAGCTGCTTTTGTTGTTACTGTCTATTCCATGTAGCAATATCATCTGGGAACTCCAGCCATAGATTAACTGGAGTTCTAATTGCTGTTCAATTATGGAAGGAAATCTGGTCATTCTTCCAAATTAATTTACAAATTGAATTATCTTATCAATAAGCATTTGTTGCTGTGTGCTACTTTGATTTAGCAACCCTCTAAAGTTGTCACAGTTATGCATGTGTTTTCCTAATTACAGATATTGTGCAACAAATATTAATGACAAACATTTAATTTTTTTCAGTTTCAGTATTACCGAGAAGTTGTTCAGAAATGTGGTGCCAGATTAGGCAGTAACTATTCCTTCCATATTGTTTCCATAACATTTCTTGTGTTGTTCCAACTTAACTTCTATACTTGGAGGTAGCCAAGCAATGTGCATTAAATTACCTCCCTGGTTTACAGATTGCCAGCACGGATCATCACCTAATAAGCCCCATTTAAATCAGTATGCCAGAATCCAGTAAGATATTTGTATGATTTTGAACTATTGGACTCTTTCACAGTTCTCTGTGTGAAATCTAAAACATTTGATTGCTTGTCATCAAAGCATACATGCAGTTCATTTCCCTAGTTCACTCAGAGACTGAAAAGCACTAGTATTATGAAGTAATCTGTGTAATATTGCCTACATTTCCGACTAAATAAAGAAAAATACTCGTTTTTAATAACAAAAGAGCCGTAGGCAATGGTTGAGGTGATCCAGGTAGGTACAAATTCAAGTAGTCTGGCACTGTGTTGAATCCCTATAGATTATTTAAGTTATTTTGCAAAGATTCAAAGATAAATCTTCAGATAGAAATCTCTTAGAAGAACAATTTCCATTATTTACCCCTCTTCCCAATTCACGGACCTTTACTGCTGTTGTCTTTGTGCACAGATAAATGTTTGGAAAATCGAGCTTGGCACTAAAAACTTTGTGTAACTTCACCCAAAATCCATGGTATAATTGACCTTTGGACTTGATGTTTTTTTCATAGAATTGGGTGGGAGGTTGGATTAAGGAAAGATGACATTTTTAAAACTGCTTGGAACAATGTCAATAGACCTACATAGGAAAAAAATGTGTAATTTCAGGAATTATTTTGTTAAGCAAAAATACTTTGGAATCCACAATTGCATTTTGTCTTATGAGGTTTTAATTGATTTTGTCACTTTGTATTTGGTCTTCTATTGAAGAAAGACACTGGTTTTTCTAACTGGTATAAAGCTGAAAGAAGAAGTCTTTTTATCAACACTGTATGCTGAATGTTGGGAAAATTACAGTTATAAAAAATTTTATCCTGTACATTTTTATCCATGTGTAGGACTTGTATGGCCATGTATCTTACAACTATAGAAAAGACAAAACTAATTCATACTTTACTTAAAATATTTTTGTAAGTTCTGTTATCTAAAATTTCAGAAAGAACTTCTAAAATACAATGCATTACTATTTCAAGGTATTTTTATCACAAATCTTACTGTACTGTACCAAATATTTACTACCCTGAAGAATGCTAGTCTGCTACTGATTTGTTTTTTAGTTGGAAAACATGCCAAAGTAAGGCTAATTTATGCATTTGCACAAAGTGAAAATATCTACAAGTCTGGTAATCCAGTTTGTGAATGAAGTTATCTCATTATCAGAATCGTTCTAATGATCTACCTTTAAAACTAATGGAGCTAATAATTATTTTTTGTGCATCTTGAATCAGTTCATTCAATTTAGCTATTAAAAGTAAGTTAAGGTTACTTTAAATATGACAACCTTTGGGTTGTTCTGAAAGCTATAATCATCCTACAACAAAATGAGAGAGGTTCTTCATAGACGATTTGAGGTAACAAAGTGTAAAGTATCCCTAATTCTGTCTTGGGAACAAGTCATGGCTTAAATGATTTCCCTCTCCACTTGCCACGATTCCTTCATTAGTCAAGTCTGCTGCTTTGTGAGAGGTTAGCACCATTAAGAACATTCTGTCAGCCACATGGTACTGCAGCATGGGCTGACCAAGAACACCATAGCATTTGGATGAGTTGTCAATACATTATCTCTTGCAATGCCACACCCCATTAGAGAACTTCTCTGGGCTTGCAAGGCAAACTTACATACAGCATGTCTGCTTGTGTCAAGACAGCATTCTCTTGAGAAAAAGCTGAGCTCCTAGAATGCTTTTAAGTTCTATTAGTTTGTAATTGAATTGTCTACTACAAATATAGAGTTCTAATCAAAACCAACTTTACAAATTGTTGTTAAAATTCATAAGTTGCCTACCAACATAACAGGACATTCTGATCCTTTATTTCTAGAAATAAGAAAACAAACAAGCTACTTACTTTGCTGCATTATTATAGATGCTCTTATAAACTCTCTAAATAAATAATAAAAAGGTCACGTAACAGGCTCAAAATGAAGCACCAGACATAACTAGTAATTTAAATCTATTTTGTCTGGGTGCTCTTTGAGTCTTTCCATGACCTCTGTTTTCCTTCTCTGTCTGTTCTGACAGTGTCTCACATACTCGTTTTTGCTACACCTGTATTCTTTGTGAAAATTTAGATCCTTCCCTTGCCATATCCACCTTCCTGATAAACTCCACTGCTTTTTTTCTCCTCGATTTTAATTTATATCCTTTTTAGGCAGTTTGTAGTCACCTTTGTAGACAAACTTTTTCAGTGTCATTGTTTCTCAGATATTGCTGAGAGGGGATGTATCTGCTTGGGCTTTTGTCTTCTTATAACCACGTAAAACATATTTCTTCTAGTTTGTCTTTGGCTTTCTGTTACTCATGTTATCATGCTCAGTGGTGCACATACAAAACCCTATATGCTTTTACTTGTCATTGTGTGTCTGCTTTTATATCTATATTCTTTTCAGACCTTTTTTTTTTTTTTAATAACTGGCAGTTTATTCTGTACTGTGCTCAGAATGTTCACATTCCTTCTAATGCGCTGTTCTCTTAAGCTCCTACTTTCCTCCAATACCAAGCAAACAATTCTTCATTCACATCAGAAATAATACATGAAAATCACCTCTACTGACTTGTGTGGGTTTTGCATATTTACCTTTTGCTAATTAAACTTTATATTTTTCTTCCAGTGTAGGAACATATCTTATCTAGATATATGTACAATTCTGTGCTCATCTTTGGTTCTTTGCAGCATTTTCAAAGTAACAGTTAGAAACTTATCAAGATTTCATATTTTGGCATATAGATGAATCTATAGGCTTCTGGGGTATTTTTTTATTTCGGTAAGGATGGGACATGGAGGAAGACTAGATTATCATCTACAAGTTGAGCCTGAAAAAATAAAATGCCTCCGTAATATTTTTTAGGTATATATGTCTTGATTTAGACTGCTGAATAATTTTGGACCAAAGCTTTTGGAAATACTGCTTGGCATGTATCCTGTTAATATTTCTGCTTTAATTTCAAACTTTGAAACTAGATTTTTTAAAAAATATTTTCTGCAAATATATGCTTTAAAGTTTATTTTTAATTTGGAGATGAGCAAGCTAAAAGATCAACAGTGTTAAAATCCTGTACAATAGTCACTTTGATTCTCAGTTGCATGTGTATTTATCTTGCTTTATTTAGAAAGTGTAATCCTTTGTGAATATATAACCTACTTTTAAAGGTATTTTCATTTATTAAGTGGCTAAAAGGTGAAAAATTGCTTGAAGGAATGAATGAGCCAGGTCTGACCTTTGATTTTAACTTGTTCTTGTCATCTAGACCCAGCTGTGCGCCTGGCGTTGTTCAAAAACAATGAAAATAAACATCTCCATGTGAAATCTCCAAAGAAGACACAGCCTATAAATGCTGGATACTTTGAAGGTATGAACAAGTATTTCTCTTTATCCCTATGCATATAAGCATATATATCTTACAATGTCTTTTAAGCAAGCCTACTTGAAATGTAAAACAATATGCACAAATAGAAGAAGGCAGAAGTTTAATGTCCTTATCTGTTCCTGTGTATCTCAAGTTACAGCAACGAAACACTTTGATTTCAATTCATTGTGGAGGGCAGAGGGTTCTCCTAGACCTTAATTCATATGGAGCTGGAGCCTAACTTATTTATTTATTGCTTTTATTATTAAATCTTTATCATAAAAAATGTCAAAGCATGCCACAGAGGTATAAAATGCAAAGCTCAGAATAAAATTTTATAAATGAAATATTACTTCAAAGTGTTAATTTCATTGTCACCTTTGCTCAAGCTAGCCATTAATTACTTACAATCCTTAAAGTGTCTTTAGGAAGCTAAATAGATATTCATAGATATTCCCTAAAAAACCATCATTTGATATAAGACAAGGAAGGAAGTTTCAGCATGTAAATATAAAATTTGTTTTCAAAAAATATTTAAATACTGATGTAGCTCTGTCATTGTTGAAATTCATGTTCAAACTCTCCTTGAGTTTGTAAGGTTTCCGTAAAAAGGCCCTTCTTGTAAGATGATCCTCTCCAGAGACATTGTTTTTATATATACTTTTGCAACTCAAAAGTGAGCTTGAAAAGTTGTCACCTCTATCTTTTTATCTTTTCCAAAGACATAGTCATATGCTATCTGATCTATTCTCAATTCCACAAAGTAAAATTACAAATGATACTGTATTAAGATTTACTGTGTGAGGATAGAAATTAGAATATGTCTGAAACAGGTGTGAAATCAGTCTCAATATACCTGAAGTGCGATTCAATCAATTAATCTAACTAACTATATGAAAGCCCAGATTTGCCTAACGTTCATCAGCCCATGCTCATATTTGTTTAGAAACAAATTTTGATGAATTCTGAAGAGGAAATATTTTTGCACTATTGTATCCAAGCATGAACTTACCTTGACTACACAGAGTCTGTGTATGCTATGACTGACTGAGCATTACCACTGTCTCATGTATGTTCCTGTGGCATATGCTTATATATGTCAGGATGCATCATATGCTGAAGAAAAAGGACATGCAGACCGCCTGCAAAACAGTGGATGCCCAAGTCTCTAAATAGTAGTGTGAATGTTCAAAACCATGTCAGAGATAAGCTTGTTTACAAGTTCAGTACGCTTAAGTCAGTGTAGGTTTAACCTGGCTTTCCTGCCTGGAAACATTTCCCTTCATTTTTAAAAGCCAGTGTATGCAGACTGAAATTACTTCTTGAATCTATGCAGAGTAGGTAATAAGGCAGATTAGGTATCAGAAGGCAAGCACATTAGTGGCATGTTTGATTATCTTTCATTTCAAGGACCATTGTACTCCTTTGGCCAGCTAATAAACAGAGATTTTTTTCACTGGTCATGGGTACTCACATGCAACCTTCAAGCAATATTGTTCTGCTTGACCAGAATATAAAATTGTCCTTCTACCAGAGGCATTGCTTCTTCAGGTGGTATGTCCAGAAAATACTAGGTTGTGAATTAGAAGTAGAGTGGAACACAGAGCATTTAGTTATATGTATGTGAGATACCATCAGAAAGAACTTGCATGTTATCTACCACAGAGAAAAGCACCTGCATGATAGTTTCACAGAGTTGTGTTGTCAGTTATTTCTTCCCATGTTTCTCATTTCCCCTCTCTCATTTCCCCTCTCTCACCTTTTGAGCATTTCTTCCTCTTTTGCATGGAATAGCTTTCTTTGGGTCTTTTCTGCAATGGGAGTTCTTTCTGTAACAAGGTGGAATGTTTTCACTCTGTATCCATAAATCTTGTGGATACCATATATAAAGAGAGAACACAGACCTGTCCTTTGCATGGTGGAAATAAACTTCCTCCATTCAAGCTCCTTAACCTTCACAGACTGGTAGAGAGTCCTTGGGTAGAAAATTTGAACTCCGATCCGTATCCTTCATAGACAACAAAATAAAAAAAAATTTAAAAAGGCACATTCTATATATTCCTTCTGTATTTCTTTAAATTGGGAAATAGGAGGGGAAGTCATATGATCAACAGCAAAACAGCAAGTACACATGTGTTGTCTGTTAAATAACAAAATCACCGCTTTTGAAAGGGGATGCCCTAGGAAGTGAAACAATTAGAACGGTTTTAGATTTTCAAACTGGAACACATCATGGTAATGAATATTTAAGAAGTAATCTAGTTAAAATGTACAGTGAAGTTCTTTTGTCTTTGTTGTGTCTTTAGTTAGTGTGTAAAAGTACAAATAAGACAAAAAGGAATAAAAAGACGTGAGGTATAAAACTAAAAAGTGAAAAGGAATGAGTTTATTATCGGATGCTTGTGTGTTCCTGAGATTATTATTCTGTTGTAATTTGCCGTCTCATTTTCCTGTTACAGAAGTTTTGATAGCTGATATGCAAAATGTTGGTAAGAAATTTCGAAAATTTGTGCATAACTTTTAATCCCATAGGATAATTCACATATCTCTAATTTGACATACACATTGTAGGAAAATACTTTTTCAAAACTTGAGCAAAATCATAAATTTTTACTAAATTTTGGAAGAGTCATCGTGCTTTACTCACTGATATTAGAAAAATCCCCATTTTTGGGGACCATTATTGCACATTTGTATCACAGTGGCACACAAAAGTTAGTCAGAGACAACGAGCCTCATCAGCAGCGTGAGGAAACATTGTTCTGACATACAAGAGTTTACCATTTAAAAATACAAGGAACAGGTGAAGGCACAAATCATGGTAATGTAATTCACTGTGTGTTAGTGGATGTGTACGTGTGTATGTGTCAATACATATGCATGCAATACATGTGTCTCTGGTCACACAAATATGTAAGCATATACCATAAGTAGGTATAATAATTCAAGAAGCATAGCACTTATGCCTTTTTATTTGTGTATTTTGAGAGGAAATGATGAACAATTACTCTCTGTGTAATTACTAGTATCAAGATGCATTTAATAATCCTATCACATTCTATCAGATGCTGTTTCAGGTTTTTTAAAATTAATTTAATGCATGTGGTCATTGTATAATAGGGATTCGTTAAAACTATTATTTAAATAAGTAATATATTTTAGTCATGATTTTATATTGTGACATTAACTTGAGTAGGTTGTAAAGTAAGCCATAGTGTAAATATGTATTTACTGTTTCTCATAACAAACTATACCCTGATCAAAAACCTGAAGACAGATGGAAGCCTGACTTGGTGTACTTTCACTTCTGATAATTTGATGGATGTTTTCTGGGATTATGTATGTTACAGTGCTTTCTTTGGTATGATGTTTCCATCATGGTTTTTGAGTTTCAGTTAGTGCCAGGTAGATAACAAACAAAATATGCCTGCTTTAATGAATATTCTGTTTTTAATGAATGTTCTTGGAGATTTTTTTGTGGTTTTTAGATGGTGACATTTCAAAGATCTCAAAATCCTGGAAACTTTGTAAGGAACACAGATAATTGTCATAATTTCCTATTTTGCATCGAAACATATTTTTTAGAAAGCTTTATGACTGCTTCTCCTCTTTTTGTCTGGAGGCTATTTCAGTTACTAATTTAACATAAAATAGTCTTGACAATTTTGGATAAAGTAGATTAGGAACTGAAGGAAGAATCTAACCTTGACTTCTTCTCTTAGGCAGTTCCAATTAGTCCTGGCTGAACATGTAAGAGAGCATCTCTGCCATCTGTGGGTCTGTAATTACAAGATCTGTAATTTCATTTACACAGAGGAAGGATACTTCTTTTTCCAGCCAACAGTGTGAATGCTTAGTCCCAGTACAGCAGCTCAAAACTAAAGAAGGAGCCCTAAGGCCTAACACATTGTTTTACTACGAGCTTTAGGAACAGTATATGTCTTTTTGGGTCCTCTTTGATCCAGCTGCCTCAACAGTTTTGGTGGGTTATCCAAATAATTTTTGTTCAGTGGAATGGGAAGCTGGATTCCGATCTGTAGATTAGGTTGGAAGAATGCAGTAGATCATCTGAAAGTCTGCTCAAACTATTCAAGTATCATTTGGATATGATTCCCTTAATTTCACAGAATTTCACAGAATGTGCTCTACTTAATTTTGTAGATTAGGTGATTTACTGGCATATATAGTATATCTATTTTTAGCCATATCCATATCCATCAGCGAAGTGGAAACAGTGCACTGTGACTTCACCCAGAAATGTGCACAATGATTTACGCCTGGAAGTTTATCTACCTTAAAAATGCATTGGACTGTATTGTCAAGATATGTTTGCTGTACTTTGGGAACCTGTAGTTCTAACTGGCAGTACTGTATTTCCTGTCATTTTATGCTCATTGGTGACTAAAGAAAATGTAATGGATGTAATGTTAAGACAGATTTCATCAATACAAATTTGATAATGAATAGGTTATGCTTTCTCAGGTGGCTTTTAATTACAGCAGTATTTATTCATTTCTGTTTAAATTGTCAGTAGAAATAACATTTATTTTTCAAGAATAAGAGGTAAAATGAGCTAGTGATTATGTCATATGATTGGAAGATAAATATCAAGGAATCTATTTAGTCATCTCTTTTCCAGCTGATAGTTCATAATTATGAAACTTCTTGTAGTCTAAAGTGAAAAATATTGCAAAAAATTCTTATATATTATTAATACTAGCAATAATTAAAAATGCAAATGTGAGACTTCAGAAAGTGATACTTTAAGGTTATCTTTTTAGTTAATTTTGTGAGTTCATTAAAACATTGTTGTATAATGATCAACATAGTTTCCTAGATTTTCAATATTACAAAATATGAATACATTGAAGAAAAAGCATATGGGGTATTTAATAGAATTTATATTTATTCAAATCACTGATGCTTGTAAATATCTGCATGACAGTTAAGAGAAGGTACTGAGACTGTAATGCTAATATTCATCTTTTTACAGGCTTTAAATA